TCTCACCTCGGGTGTGCTCCTAAAATCTAAGAAGCCTACACTTTAACTTATGCTCAAAGTGATTTAAGGTGTTCTACCATCAATTAAGTGTTTTCCAACTAATCCTCAAATATTCCTAAGTGTCTTCCAAGTAATTAAATCAGAAATTCTCATTTTTATTTGACTTAACAAATTAACTAAAGTCAAATTGACTAAAGTAATAAAACAAACAAAAAGAGAAGGTTGACCCACTTTCAAAACTAACAAGTCCAATGGGGAAATAGCAAGTGAATCAACCTAAAAGCTTTTAAAATTTTTCAACAACTGTAATTAAATACTCTTGAGAAGAGTGTTTAAGTTTGTTCCAAGACAGTGTTTTGATCGGCCCAAAAGTCTTCCAATTCAGTAGGAAAAAGAGATGCCCAAAAGTCACCAAATAGACTCAGAAAAGTGCGACCCAAAAGCCACATAATTGAACCAAAAAGGCAACCCACAAGTCACAAAATGGACCCAAGAAAGTGCAACAAAACAAGCCTCTTAACAATCCCAAAAACTGTGCATTTAAAGGCTTTAAAATCAGTGTTTAAGGACTCCAAGATCAGCCCACAAAAGTACTACAAAACTGTACATAAATTATCCCAAATTGATCCCAAATTGACCAACAAACCCCAAAACAGTGCCGAAACAATGCCCAAGCTACTCTAAAATCAGCCCACAAAACACCTAAAAAATAGCCCTTAAACTCGCCTCAAAACAGTGTGCAAACCTCTCCAAATCAGCCAACAAATGCACCCCAAAACGATGCCCAAATAGCGTGTAATCAACCCAAGAAAATAAGTTTACCGGATCCAAGATTGCAGCAAAATCAGCCCAAAACAGTCCCCAAAACATCATTTAATTACCTTCCAAATAACATTAAAACAACAAGTAAAGCCCCCCAAAATCAGCATTTAAATGGGGCACAAAGCCCCTAAAAAAAACAGTAAATGAATCAACACCCAGGTGGCATATAAAGCCTCAAAAACCAGCAATTTATAGTGTCTAAACAGTGAAAAGTCGAGGCAAAACAGTAAGAATGATAAGCTAGAACGACACCCCAATCCTTCTTCAAAACAATGATAATAACGAGCAACCGACCAAGAAGAATCAAATAAAGATTTGCATGTATACCCCACAATTCCTATATGTTAACATATCTCAGAACTAGACTTCAATTCTTACATTTATACCACCAAAATCTTTCATATTGCATCAAAATATCACAATTCTATCCTTAAAAAGTTGAGATACACCTTTTCATGTAAATGCACAAAGATTGAGTGGTGCGCATGTAAGTATGGTTGTTTAGGTGCTAGGAATGTAAATACCTAAGAATTGTGTGGTATGTATGTAAATTTTCCACCAAACAATTTAATCAAGGCAAGAGCTAGTGAAGTCCGATTGATCGGATCAATCAAATCTTTAGGCCGAGTATGAAGGGCTGACGAAATAAAACTGTCTAAGTTGGTTTAAAGGAAAGTAATGAAAATAATTCCCTAAATCTAAACCAAACCAAATCATGAAAATAGCAATGTAAATCAGATCAAATAAGTTTGCCAAGTCTGTGATAAGGAAGTAGCAAAAATAAATCAATTAAGACTTCAATATTCCTTAAAAGCAAAACAAAACTTTGAGACTTCACTCAAATACAAAGCAGGCTGTAATTATGAAAATTTTATTAACATGAAGGCGTAGAAGCATCATCATTTATGAGTAAGAGAGCTTTGTGTCCAAATTATGTTTCTTGGCCAAACGCTCGAGGAATAAAGACAAAAATTAACTTTAATAAAAAAAGATATATAATCCCAAAGGATCCTGCACCAATGCTTTGTGACGTTAGGATAACTCGAAATAGACCGTGAAGATATTTGCAAAGAATGGATTACCGTGAGTTTTAAATGGGGAATGCACAACCCTTCAGCTATGAGCTAGATCCAAATCTGAAAACCTGCACTTTGAGCAACTTCGATGTTACTTCTCCTTGTAATCCCAGGAAATATTGTTCCACTTACAACACGAGTTGATATAATGTTCTCCTTGTGTTTGCAAGAGATGAAAAACTGAAAGAATGTCGTGCAGAGCTAGTGCAACGCCACAATCTGCTCTCCTTACTCTCCTCTGCTTCAACTGTTGCGCTTACAAGGACGTGACGGTGACTCCAGAATGCTCGTCTCTTTCTTCCGTGTTAGAGAGAGAGAGAGAGAGAGAGAGAGAGAGAGAGAGAGAGAGAGAGAGAGAAGGTGGCGGGAGTCACATGAGCGGGCGTTGAAGAGGAGTGATGAGTTTTTTTGATCAGGAGAAGAAGAGAGAGTCGGATGAGGTGTTTCCGTGAAGAAGGATCGTGGGAGAAGGTAGGGTGAGTCGAACGGCTGTTCGACGTGAACGCGAGGGAGAAGTGAGGGCGTCGGTCGCTTGCGGGAGAGGCGCTTCAATTGCGAGTGGGAGAGGGGCTTCTTCGGTCGAGAAGTCTATCGAGTGAGGAAGGTGAGCAGGAGTTTCAATCAGTGGAGGGAGTCGAGCGAGGGTTTCTGGAGCTTCGATCGGTGGAGGATGGGGCGCGCAGGAGCTTCGATCGGGAGAGGGAGACGAGTGGCTTGGTTTGTTCGGCGTGAGGAGGAGGCGGGATCGAGAGGGGTCTTGGCGCAGGGAAGAGGAGACGAGGCGAGAGAGTTGCGGTGGAGTACTTCAAGCAGGAAGAGCATGGAGGGAAAGCTTTCGCTGCAGAGGGGAAGAGACGAAGCCAAGGGCTTTGGTGCAGCGAAGAGGTGAGCAGGTGCAAAAGAAAGGGACTTCTGTGCCGAGGAGAAGAGGCGAGCGGGGTTTCAAATTCTCCAAGTTAGAAGGAGTTGAATGCTGGGGAGAGGTTGTATAACCGAAGAGACGTTACTCAAGCATTGGCGGGGAATTGCATGAATTCCATTACTAGAGGAGTTTATTTGGCATATATAAGCTCCTAATTAAGTTTCATTAAAGTGAGATTAAATGATTCATTTGAAATTTAAAATTCGAAATTGTTTAGCTCGAGTCTAATCCGAATCGAATCCGAGTTAGACCTTGGTTGAGCCCGGTCCCGCACCGCTAATTAAAAAAAATTGCATTGATTTTCGTGCTAATTGCTCGCGTGGGGAACCATAGTGATATGAGTGTCTTTTCCGGCTAAAATTGATGTCCCGGACGCGTCGACACGGTCTGTCGTCCATACAAGTTCACCGACGGTCGGGCCAAAAATGTGTCAACCTCCTGCGTGGTGTAATGAGTGCGTTGCTAAGTCACGGATGGTTCACCTAAGACTGTCTGATCCTGTAGGAACTCATTTTCGGGCCCTCTACATGTTGGTCCTTAGCCCTTGCAAGTAGAAGTTGAGTGCTTGGAACCACTCATGCGAGTTCTTCACAAAGATGAGTCAAGAAGTGGTTTGAAGTTCTACGGGAGGTGGGCTCCAAATATTTAGTCTGTTAGGATGGTCAACAAGGAACTCCTAGGGCTAGATTATGAGTTCTAAGAGTAGGAGACTAAGACCTCACTGAAAATGAGGCCAATACTAGTATACATAGCCCTAAATTGACTTATGATACAACCTTTTTGTTTTGTTCTCCTTCTAATCTTTCTGTACAGTACTTATAACTAGCACATAAACTGCTACCCATATGATCACACTTATGCCAAAAGATCCAAAGCTTCTTTACCCTTCTCTTCCTGACACTGGTTGTTGAGCGCAACAACAAACCAAACTTTTTGGGCTCTAATATTCGCAGCAGAGAAAAATAACGAGCTACAATCATATAGGGTTAATTTATTCTACCTCAATGAAAAAACCCTTCTCAAATGCTGTTCTGAAACTTCTAGCTGCTGCTCATGTAAAATAAGAGAATTAAACCGTGTTTTTTTTTATTAATTGAAACTGTAATAAATGCAATTAAACTTATTAAAATAAATAAATATATATACAAAAATATTCTTCCCACCTATTTTCTTCTTTTCTTCTCTTATTCTTCTAATTTTCCCTAAAATTCCTGCAGCAGCAGCAAAGACACATTCAGAGCTAAAGCTCTCGTTTTGACATCCAACACCCCGATCGATTAAACGCTAGTGTCGAAGCGGGATGGTATTACAGGAGAATGGAATTGGGACAATAGGAAAGGAACAAGGGAAATAAATTTAGATATATAATGGTCAACACCTTACCAATTTGCTAGCTAGATCCCTGCCGAGAATTAGAGTCAGAGGCAAGACTAGATTGGGGTGACCCACACTTTTTCAGCCCCTGGGGGTTTTTTTTTTTGAGTTTTTTTTTTTTTTTTTTTTATGCAGTATAAAAGAAAAGCAGTAGAAAAGTACAAGAAAGACTGTAAAACGCTGTAAACTGTAAAAGTGTACCTGACGAGTCTTCTTTTTCCACCACCTGAAACTCAAAATGCATGTCAGAGCATTTATGTATTATATAATTCATTTAATTAAATCACTACCTTTGATTAAAACAGACGGTTGCATGTGGGTATTAAGCGGAGAATCCAGATTGCCACTGCGCTGAAGGTGTTGTTAACAGTAAATTAATTAGCTGAATTAATTAATTAAGATCATTTAGGTAATTCAATCAACTATTTTTGTAAAACCAAATATATTAATAATTAACAAATACCATTCCATATAAAATTGATTAATTCAGATGGTATAATTTTCTAAAAATAGTTCGATTGGAATTCATGGGATGCAAAAATTAGATATATTTAAAACACAACTAGTAATTTACCTTATTTAGCCAAAACTGCCCACCCCCTACCCCGCCTAACAATCAGTTCTGCATTCGTAAGACCTCGAGGTATTGTATCTTACAGCCATAATTGTAATTCAAGGCCTACTTTCTGATGTTTATTTGGTGATGTTAGAAATTAAATTTTTTATTCCTATTTTATTTACTTTTGATAGATTGTCATTATATTCTTTTATTGGTGATAATGAAACATGAATTTTATCATTGACAGGTTATATAGGAGCAGCTGTGACTGATGGGCCGGGATGCTTGATGTTGAGATGCCCTGATCCATCTTGCGGCGCTGCCATTGGGCAAGATATGATTGATATTTTAGCTAGCGGGGAAGATAAACAGAAGTATGCTTACTACCTCCTCAGATCATACATTGAGAATAACAGGAAGGTTTGTTGGTGATTCCACATGTAATTCTCTATGTTGTTTGGCTTTATTTCTTTAATAGTATTCCAGCTTTTTTTATGCTAAATATCTGCAGACAAAATGGTGTCCAGCACCTGGATGTGAATTTGCCATTGAATTTGTTATTGGATGTGGAAACTATGATGTTTCATGTAATTGCTCCCACAGTTTTTGTTGGAATGTAAGCGCTTCACAATAAATAATTTATTTTTAATGCTTAATTTGTTTCAAAAGATTCTGAATCTTGGCAAGCAAAGCATGCAGTGTACAGAGGAGGCGCATCGTCCAGTGGACTGTGGCACTGTAGCAAAGTGGATATTAAAGAACAGTGCAGAGTCTGAAAACATGAATTGGTAGGCTTAACCACTTTTGTTTTCCTCATGTGTTTCTGTTCTCGTTTAGCCACTGCATGGAAAAGATTATCAGCATGTGTTTTCTGATAGTATCAAATTGCTGACTTCTTATTTATATTTTTGGGAAAGACTACAATATCAAAGTAGTCCCGTGACTATTTACATGGGGTCATTTTAGTTCTATAGTATATAAAAGTGTTAAATTAGCACCCAAACTTTTTCAGTGGGGGCTAAATAACCACCATTGAGGAGCTATTTCAATCCATATTAAACATTTCTGGGACTAATTTGACACTTCTATAAACTCTGGGATTAAAATGCCTCCTTGCAAAGAGTTAGGAGATCATTTTGACACTTTTCTTTTTTTGAGAAATGTTAAGTTGGCATAATCTATGTCTCCAATGCATACTTGTCCAACTGAATGAGATTCTTTAGCTGTTATTGGCTTAGTTAACACTTTGCCTGCATTTTTCCTATAAATTTATATTTTGAACGAATGAAGATTTTTGCACAGGCACATGTATATATATATTCCTTATTTATTCAATTCGCTTTAAGCCACTGTTTGTGAAATAATTTTAGCATATGTTTTCTGATAATATCAATTTGCTGATGAAAGGCTGTTGATTTTTTTAATGAAATGTTAAATTGCATCATCTTTGTTACAAATGAATTTTTGCAGAACTGTGCAATTCTTTAGCTGATTTTTGCAAAAATTAACATTTTGCATGCATTATTCCTATTAATTTATACTCTTGTTGAATGATTTATACTCTTGTTGAATGAAGTTTTTTTTTTTTTTCGGTTCTAATGTGTTTTTGATCAATTGTTGTAGCTACAGAGTTGGCCTAGGCAAGTTTAGTTCATTTCTGATGATATGGAGTTCCCTTTTAGGTCTTGCGTTATGGAACATCCAATTCATTAAGATGAAATCTGAGACAAATATGAATAAATGTTGACTTTTTTGTATTACCTATGGGTTGATTAAAAGCAAATGTGTTGATGATCTCTCTAGCCTTCTTGCTATTACTTTTTCTTTGCAAGCTAATTTGAAATTGTTGTTTACAAATATTGTTTGAAATCAATTTTTGTGCTCATTGTAGTGGACTTGCGTTTGGCATGCATCTTGGGGCAATTCTATTATGCTTAAGCTTGGTCTACCATCAACTTTGGTTTTGGGTTCTTAGAACTTGTGGTTCTCATGGTAGAAGCGTAACATCAATTTCTCAAGATTTGGGAAACAGCTTTCAAACAATTACAAGTTATATAAAATTCTATTGAAATGTGGAAGCTTTAACCATTTCTCGGAAGTTTTACCCCCAAAACAAAATTTGTCATTGAAGCCTTTTTATAGTATGGTCCGATAGGATGTTTGACGCGGGATGCTGGAGCGAGGCTTCCTGCACTGACACAGTACTCATGGGTTCTCCCGCGTCTTAACCTAACCGTTTTGTTGAAGACCGGTCGAGGGGGATTCCCGAGCCGAGCGGCCTGGGCGAGTGGCCTCCCGCACCCCTCTCTTTCCTTTTTTGCTTCTTCTTCATTTGAAAGTATTTTAATGGTTAATTTCTGAATATTTCTTGCCTCTCCACCCTTTCTTTTTGTGTGGGACTTTCCTTCTTTATTTTTTCATTTCTTTTTCATGTAAGAGTCCATTTATTTATTGTTTTCAGAGTTAGGGGGAGTTTTTGATGTGTTGATATCAGATTTTTGTGTGGAGTCCTTGTCCCCTTTGTGGGTTGTATCCAAGGACGTGGTAGTGCTCCGACCGTATCCTGATCCAAGATGATGTGTATCTTCGTCACTTTTGGCTATCCAACCCTCCTCCTTTTGCCCCATAGCCACTAGTCACTCCTAATCCTCTTCCCCAACTTCTATCGCTCCATCTCTTGCTTTTACCTTGCTGTCCAACACTTTCCAGCCATCCTTCCACTTGTCGTCAATCACCTACGACCCTCCATACTTGCCGTCCCTACAATTCTGCACCCCCTCGCTGCCATCAACATGCCTTAGCTTCCACCACCATTGCCAACCATCCCAATCCCTCCACCGTCCTTGTAATACACCTTAGAGTTTTTGCTTGTGTTGTGTATGTCGGTGTTGTTATTTTTTTTTGTGTTGTGTTGTAAACCTATTGCCCTATTAATAAAAATGTGTTTTTGTATTTCTACTATTTTCTCTACCAGTTCCGGTATCAATGTCTCTATGCCTTAGATGTGGGTACAGTTCATTGAAGTTGTGGTAATCTGAACAGTCCTTACTGAATTTTCCCCAGACTGCCATTAATCCTAGCCATGCTCTTGAATGCGTTCCCAAGTTTTTTATACTTTTTCCATTCCAAATTGCTATTTCTGCAATCCTTTTCCAAACGAAATCCAGCTTGTTTTTACCCTTGCGGCTGGGCAATTGTGGTCTGTACTTGTGTTCAGGTTTTGTTTTACTTCAGCAAGTTGTGCGGTAAAATCACGCTAGTCATTGGCTAATTTAAAAACGTAAATTTTGTTTGCTACTAAACGCGTACTTCATCCTTTCCATAACCACCTCAATAGCAACCCGCTCTGAACATACACTCAAAAAAGGAATATTTTTGCAGGACGTGGTTCCTTTAGTGGTTTTTTTCAAGCATTGAATGCATCTGTTTCTCTATTTTATATAGAGTTCAAAGTATTGAATTTTTATAAACCATCGTTTTGTTATTTCTTTTTTCTTTCTAAATAAAAAAACATGGCTCCGCCAAAAAATTCCTTACAAAATTTCTTATTTAATACTTATGAAAAGAAGACAGTTGGATTTCTCCCTGATGTGATCTAAGTGTGCCAAATGCCTAATTGATAAATATGGCATGAATGGCAAAACCGTGGACTAAATATCTGGGCAGGCACGTGTGTTTTTTTTTCTAGTGAAGAAGCTACACATATTAATGCCTTCTATGCTATGTTGTATGGATAGTGTAGCTTTAACTTATTGGTGGGATGCGACCTTATTAATTTTACTAAAAATTTGAAGTATCTGTTTCGTTTTTAAATTTAATGAGAAGCCTCCTTCTCACCTACTGACCCTTTTTTTATTTTCTTTCCCCTTCACACATGGATTTCATGTGGATGCCCAGAAATTGTCATATTCACACTCACTTAGTGTTGATTATTTTAAATCTACTTACATTGCAAAATCAACGCCACTTGTGCTTTTCCAGCTATATTAATTAAGTGAATTAATTTTATTTTATGTTGTAATACATTTTCTGGTTGTTTAAAGTAAGAAGCTGCTTGTTATAGCTTTTTATTATTTGAATTCTTGCTTCAGGATATTGGCCAACTCCAAACCTTGCCCAAAATGTAAAAGGCCAATTGAGAAAAATCAAGGCTGTATGCATATAACTTGCACGCCACCTTGCAAATTTGAGTTCTGTTGGTAAGATTCTCTGATATTGTACATAAGTGCTCTATTTTATCTGGTTTTCATTGGTCCGTTTTCTTAAATGTGTAAAATCATCAAAGGTTATGCCTCGGTTCATGGATAGAGCATGGGGAGAGAACTGGGGGTTTCTACGCTTGTAATCGTTATGAAACTGCAAAGCAGGAGGGGATGGTTGGCTTTATGCTACACATCTTATTTTTTGTGTTAATTATGATAATTTATCGGAATTTTTTTGAGTTATTTGTTCATTTCAGTATGATGAGTCTGAAAGGAGAAGAGAAATGGCCAAAAACTCCCTTGAGAGATACACACACTACTATGAACGATGGGCTACCAATCAACAAGTATGCTTTCTCACAAGTATATTTTCTCATCAGCGTTTGATTATAAATTTTCATTTTTCTTGTATCTCTTAGTCATGGTTAAATCGAAGTCTTTCTGCATTTTAAAGACTGGCATTGTCTTGTATGTTTACAGTCAAGACAGAAGGCACTTGCGGATCTGCATAATATCCAAACTCAAAAGGTATGCCATCCAATCTGCTATTCTCTTATCCTTTTGATGCCATTAGTTTAAATCGTAGGAAATGAATAGTTTCTTTAGTTGATGAAGCATCTCAATCAGGGTTATCTAGCTGAACTTATTTATAAGAGAGCATGTAAGTGCTATCTTTCTTGAATAACTGTTCAGTGTCTACTTTTCATCATACATTGTAAACCTTGACCTTGTACTGTGAATACACATGATCGTGACTGAATATTGTGATTTTTTAGTTCTTACAGAATATTGTGTATTTAGACTATAATGAAATAATTTAAATCCATCGAGCAGCAACATGCTATGCCCATTGACTCCTTTAATGCGTAGATAGTCTGACATTGTTAATGGAAGGAGAAAATCCTTTACTATATAGCTTAAAGTTGCCATTTTGGCTTATTAACCAACAGGCACGAACCAATTAAAACTGAACAAGAAAAAACTGGTTTGGTTTTAAAGTTACCTTTCATTATTCTTTAGTTTCTCTCCTTTGCTATACATGATATAAGTATTCTTTTAAATGATTGTATATTTGTTTATGTGGCACTTTTTGTTGATAACTTCAGGTCTGTGTTTAGGTTGCCTTATCCATTTTGTTTCTTACTGGCCATTTTCCTACCCTTGTCCTCTTTTGCATGTTGAACTAGAGTTTATGAAAATCCTTTTTTCTTAAAATGTTATAAAAGTAAAGAAGGTAATGACCAGACAATGACGAGAAAAGAATCATCACTGGATAGAAGAAGGTAATGACCAGACAATGTAAAGAAATTATGATTCATTTAATTTGACAAAATCCTCAGAACATTTTAAATATAATATCGAAACTTTTGTGATACCCAATGCTTTACTCATGTGAATGAAAGGACATGAGGCTCATCATACCAACACAAAGTAGTTGAGATGAGGCTCACGGCTTATGCATAGTTGTTATAAGGCTTATATGCTGCTGATGATGATTTTCTATCAACTTTTTTTATTCCTTCTTCAAAATAAAGAAAGCACTGGAATTTCTAACTTCTTTCTTTTATAATATTTTCTGAAGCTTGAGAAGCTTAGCAAAATACAATGCCAGCCAGAGTCCCAACTCAAGTTTATAATTGAAGCCATGCTACAGGTGAAAATAAATAAACTTTTTTCCTTCACTTTATTTAAACAATCTTTTTTAACGGACATGATTTTCATGGTAATGTTAGAATTAATTGAGCATTGCAATATGTAGGTTGTTGAGTGTAGGAGAGTACTGAAATGGACTTATGCATATGGGTATTATCTACCTGAGCACGACCATGCTAAGAGGCAATTTTTTGAGTATCTACAAGGTTTTTGATTGCTATCAAGTTGTATTAAGTTTCTTCAAGTCTATTCCCTTTCTGATGAATGTGTGCTGTTTGTTCTACAGGTGAGGCTGAGGCTGGTTTAGAGCGACTTCATCAATGTGCAGAGAAGGAACTTCTGGTGTATCTTGAAGCTGAGGCTCCAATGAAGGAATTTATCGACTTTCGCATAAAGCTAGCTGGATTGACTAGGTATATTTGATAAAACCTCTTTTCTCGTATAGCATAAATATAATTTTCTTTTATATTTCATTGGGGATTTCCAGTTTGTATTTGATCTCACAGTTAATTTAACTTGTGCAAAAGAGAGTCCTCATTATCTATGAAGTGTTTAGTAGGAAACTATTCTACATAAGATCAGTCTGCTGTATTTTTTTTTTTAACGCTTGCTTGCCTTTATTTATTTATTTATTTTTGTTTGTTAAAACTTTGTCTCCTTTGCCTTGCAAAATATTTTTAGATTTTCATTTACTTTCTTTAACTTTTCTTCATCTTGAATATAGTTTTGTTTTATCTTAAATTATAGCAGCTTCGAAGATTTCATGGTCATGGGTGATTAAAGAAATATTCAATTGATATTCTTAGGGGCTGTTTAGGATCAGTGTTGTTTTTTATTATATATTTAATGTTTTTAGTTTATTTTGTTTATGTTTTGAATTTAAAAAAAATATGTTTGACTATTTGATTAGAGTACGATTGTTTTTATTTACACACAAAATACTTGAAATATTAATTTGAGTGTTTTCAAAAACAGTTTAATTTATTTTTAGAAATAAAAAATAAAAAACATGTAAAAATATACTAAACAAATATATTTTATAAATATAAATAAAATTGATCGTAAAGAAACCCTTAAATTACTGCAAAATTTTATCATAAAAACGAATTTTCAACTCGTGACGATCATTTAGTTTTTGGCCTAAGTTTCTCTCTTATTTGTGTTTTTTTTTTGGACAGTGTCACAAGGAACTACTTTGAAAATCTGGTTCGAGCCCTAGAATCCGGATTGGAAGACGTCGGGCCTAATTGGCAAACCAATAGCAGCAAGTCTTCAAGCTCAAACAGCACTTCTAGCAAGAACTGTTGTGGGAATAGCTCCAGATCAAGTGCAACCACCACCACCTCGGATCACTACTGGTCGTGTGATAGGTGCACATATGCTAACCCCATCTCTAACCATACATGTGAGATATGCGAGCGTCATCGCCATTGAATCCTCCAAACACTTCTAGATCTTTCTAGATACAAATAATTCCAGAAAGTCATTTACAACTTGTGCTACTCTATAGATATCTATTAGAGTAAAAATTAGAGGAACAGAAAGGTTACAGCCATATAGGGGAGAATGGTATGATGAAAGAAGCTTTTAATGGTGAAATTTCAGTTCTAAGGCAGGCATATAGAAGTAAAATATAACATCGTCATGTATATGTGTATGTGCTTAATCTTTATGAACTGATAGAGCCAGCTTGGTCTTCTAGGGTTGTGAAGGATCACAGTATTCTGTTTTTTTTATATATTTAGGATTGTTTCCCCACGTTGTAAATTTGAAACAGATAATCAAATTAATAATTCTTTGGCTGGGATCAAAATACATTACATTGTCTTGTTTAGCTGCCTCATTTCATTATGCATAATTTTATTTTTGCTGTGTAAATGCACATTTAAAGTGGTGTCGTTTTTCTTGTTTGAGTGATAATCTATTTAGTACCTTATTTGAATTAATGGTGTCTATGAGATTGCTGTTCAATAGTTTCGTTTTATGGAGATTGTTGTCATAACTTTTGTTGATTATACTATAATTTTGATTATGCATTCCTAAAACTAATTTCTAAAGTAAATATATTTTATAAATGTATGCAATTTAACATTTTATGACTTCAAAATTATAATATAAAGTTGTGTGAAATTTTGGATTAGATTATCAAAAATGAATTCAGAGAACCCAATTGTTTATGAGTCTTGCAATCAATTAATAGTTAAAAAACAACCACCTTATGTTTGGGGAAAGAGATTGGGGAGTCTTAAAATATATTGAAAATGCTTTACATATTGCTAATAAATGTCTTATTTTGAGTTAAACTGACTGCTTGATTATCATTTTCTAATCAAGGGAATATGAAAATTGTGCTTTGGACTTCTATAGTATATAATCTTAAGTCGAGTGGCAAGAGTTATATTTTGTGATCTCTTTCTTTTTTTTTTTGAGATTTGCGAGCACTCGAACTCAAATTATTTTCAACCAATCTGCCGTGCATCCGAGCACAATCTTGCCTTTCTAAATTAACAATAATAATTCTAAGAGATGTTCTCCAGGTGGATCATAGTGTAAAGCATGATAAGAATCCTAAAACATTATGAGAACAACATAGTTAATAAATGTTGCAAATTATGATTAAATTTCCCAAACTCTCAACTAAGTATTACTAATGATATGTTTGGTACTTCATCAAAATATGACATTTCTCTCCATCATGTGTTTTGGTATTCTATGCTCCTTGTCAGTTGATGGATGCAAGTACTTTTGTAACCTCCCAAAAATCAGGAGCAACATATTACAAGGAGGACAAATATCATCAGACAAAGCTCCTTGTTTTAAAGATCTATTTATATTTGCATGTGAGCCTTGTTGCACAACCGAGAATAATATCAAATTTCTTGAATTCACAAAAATAAAAAAAAATATAAAGTTTCAAGGACTATAAAATTTGGTGAATGGATCTTTTTCATGAACTATACATAAAGTTCTTATAAAATTCATATTTTTTTCAAATGCCTCATTTTATTAAATTATTATTTAATTTTTAAAAATATAAATCCCGATAAATTTTACATCCTTAGTTATTCATGATAGCTTTATCAAATTAAGCTTTAACTACCTTAAAACTTCGAAGTTAAACTTTGTAATGTTTTGATTATGAGAATTATATCTTTTGAAGTTTTATCAAATCACAAGCATTCTAAAAATTTTTATTTTTATAAAAAGTACATTTGGTGAGTAATATCTCCTCACTTATCTATAGGACTATAACCTTAAGCCTAAATTTCAAAATGCCAAAATTTAAATATTATTAAAACCATCGAAAAGCCCATGTCTCTAAGTCGGAATTTATGAATATAAGTTAGCTCTATTGAAATATTTTTCAAGGTACGTTGTTTTCATATTGTCAAAATATTCAAACTTGTAACTCTTATAAGGCAAGTTTACTATCCCACAAGGACAAGGCTAACCCAATTCACTCACCTGATAAAAATACTCAACAAACATCAATCACATCCAAACTACCCTTATCCCAAGTCTCCTCAGTAAAAGATTCAATTATCCCTAAAATATAACTTTGAAATAACCTCTCAATTAGATCCTTTCTTTCCTTTTTATGAAGTCAATAAAGCCAATACTTCTAGACATGTTGATGCTCATAACTTAGGGAACATCCAAGTCAAAATATTTTAGCTCATTTTGACTCTTATAAAAGAAGAATACAATTCGAGAACCAAATTAACGTAGCTCAAATATCCTAACACTTAAATTGAATCCTAAGTCTACTCTTAATATTAAATATCTTTATTGAGCTATCAAGTACCCAATCCAAATTAAGAAAAGTAGCCTACAAGACATCATCTTTTCCACCCTCCAAATATTAAATGTCTTTTATTCCAACCATATTCTGTTTTTTTTTTATAAATTTAAATAAACATGATAATGGAGGGAAGTTTATTTATTTATCTTATTTGTTTGTTAAGGTTATGTTTGGATTCTATTGGTTGGTTTCTGTTTCATCTTTTGCTTTCTTCTGTTTAATTGTTGGATGGTTTCCCTTCAATTGTTCATTTTTCTTTTGTTGATTTTAGATATTTTCTTGATTTTTTGTTTTGTTTGAGCTATGATAGTTTCCACGAGTTTATTAAAAGGCAACAATATTTTAAATATCCATGACCTATTGATTTTAGATATTTATGATATTTGATGTATTATTATTATTTTTCCTTTCAGGTAAGTTTATGAACTCTTTTTTCTTTTTGAGTTTTTTGGTTTTTTTTCTTCTCTGTTGTTGGTTATTCTCATCTTTACTGTGTTGTTCTTCTTTCTGTCTTTGGACTGGTTATGATTGCTAGTTGTCAACATTTGTTCTATATGTCTGTTGGTTTTGTTATTTAGTTGCTTGGCATTATTATTATTATTTTGATAGATTTTCGTCTTCCTATCTTTTGTTGGTTTTATTTTTATTGTTTTGACCTATTTCTTTTCTTGGTCAAATATGTTGGATTACCATCCTGGTTGTTGTTTGGGTTTTGTTGTCCTTACTTATTCTTCTGTTTGTTCAGATTCTCTCTAGATTTGTTGTTTGGTTGATTTTGGATTGTGATGTGTTTATTTCCAGCACTATTTTTTTCTTTTTTTTTGGTTTTTTGAAAGGAATTTTAGTTTTTTTCTTTTATGTTTGCTTCTTTAGCCTCTTGACTTCTGCTAGATAGCTCATCTTCTGCTTTTTAATGTGGTTGTTGGTTGATTGGAGGTTGCATGATAGTTGTTGTTTTGGAACTATTGTTGGTTGTTTATGCAGGTGCTTCTCTTAGATGTTGCGATTTTGGATAACTACGTGTTGTTGCTATTTATTTTTGTTGGTTTTTTCTTCTGCTGTGCTCTTTAGAATTTTGATTCAGCTACTTCTTTATTCATTTTGGTTGCTATTTTGTTGTGATCTTCCTTTCTTTTTATTCTTTTAAGTTCAAATACTCTCTTGATTCATTGATTTGTTGAGTTTAGATTTAGGTATGATTATATCCTCTTATTAAAATTCAACCATATCTTAAGTATATTTGGTTTTAGATACATTTTATATTTGTAAGAAATTTTAATATTTTCCTTTCTGGTAAGTATTTGAGCTCAACTTATTTTTCTTTTTGTGTTATCTATTTTTTTGGTTTTAGATACATTTTATATTTGTAAGAAATTTTAATATTTTCCTTTCTGGTAAGTATTTGAGCTCAACTTGTTTTTCTTTTTGTGTTATTTATTTTTCTTTGCTCTATTGGTTTTTAGACTTATTTCTTTTTTGTTTTTGTGTTTTTTGGTTTATTATTATGTTCTATTTACTTCATTGGTTTTCTTTATGTTTCTTTTTGTAGATGTTGCTTTGGTCTTCTGACTCGTTCTTTGCTCTATTGGTTTTTAGACTTATTTCTTTTCTGTTTTTGTGTTTTTTTGGTTTATTATTATGTTCTATTTACTTCGTTGGTTTTCTTTATGTTTCTTTTTATAGATGTTGCTTTGGTCTTCTGACTCCTGCTGGATAGCTTCTCTTCTCAGTTGATCATGATTCTTCTTTAGTACAACTGTTGTTGCTATTTTTGGTTTAGCAAATTGGAGGTTAAATATTTTGTAGTTTTAGAGTAAGAGATAAAATTTTAAGCATTTGTTACTTAATGATGTTGTTTTGAATATTTTTTATTTATTACTGATTGTTGTTGTTAGCTACTTCTTCTACTATCAACTATGGTCTTTATCTTTTGTTGTTTGTTTTGATGTTGTCTTCTTTTGGAGTATTATTGTTTGTTTTTGTAGATTTGATTATATTTGGTTGATTCTGTGAATAGTTTTTTTGGGTTTTTTATCTTGGTTTTGGGTTGTTAGGTGTTAGGTGGTATTGTACTTTCTATATTTAGTTCTAAAGTTAAATGTGACCCTCATTTGTCCTAAAAAAATCTATCAAATATAACATTTTAATTCCTAGTGAGCCACTCCACTAATTCATAATGAATTCTCTTACTTATTGAGAGGAAGTACATCTAAAGTTATTAAGAAAATATTAAAAAGATAATTAAAACCTTCCTTCAATGTACCAATTTTCAAAGCTTAAATAAGGATATTAACCACACTCTCAAAATTTGCATTCCAAATAAAATACACTAAAACTTATAACCAAACTAATTTAAATTCATAAGGATCCACATTAATAACTTTTCCCTCATAGATATTAATAAATACTCTCTTCCGCCTCACTGAATCCTTATGTCAACTTACCCAACATAAAAAACAACAGACTTTCAAAATCAAAATAAATATAAGTATCGTCAAAATGCAGCTCAATTAATTCAAAACCCAAATAAACTTTAAAAGTATATCCCAATCAGTAATAAGTTCTATTGTAACCAATCCCTAAAAATCTGCAAATCAAATTTTCCTCCACAAGTAGATATTGATATAAGTATGGGGAACAACATTATATCCATTAAAATAAATAGGTTCAT